CACATAAGTCTTATTTCTTATTTAATACAACTGTCAGAAACTGCCATTCTTACCACCAAAGTTAATTTGATACACTGTACATGGAAAGATCTCATACTCAGTTCACTGTTGGTGAAAAGGTAGATAGGGAAAAGAATGCAATGAATCTAAATATGCATATGAAAAAAGAACACATTTTCCTATTTCTATTCCACCCTCTGTACAAGATTGCTTTCAGATTTCAGGCTGTGTATTTGAAATGTTGAATGCTCTAGAATGACATTGAAATGTTTGTGACAGCTATCAGTGAATGATGTCTGGAATGTCTTGAGTTTATTCCTGGTCACAACTGGAATTATTGATGGTGGAAAGTAATGTTCTTTTTTTTTTTTTCAAGAATCAAAGCAAGACCTGATAGCCATCTTGAAGAAGACATACCAAGAGTGATAGGAATTCCTGTAGGAGTTATCTACTAAAGAAACAGAATCATTGCCAAATTCTAAATTTTATTAGGTAAGATAGTATCAGATAGGATTTGTTTTCATTTATCAGTTATCATTAATTATGTAGCTTTTAAAAAGCAGTAAAACAATCATATCATAAACGAGATGGAGAAATCATTATTCTCTTCACTCCTTTTCAAGAACTCAGGTAACTATCCATAAAAATATTTAGCTCTGGGGAAGCTGAGGAATACAGTTCATACCTATAGTGACACAGTGAAGCAAAAGGAAGTGAAGAGCTTCAGACCAAGGGCCCCTGGGGCACTCTCTTAGCAGAAGTCTGGAGAGGGATAGAAAGAACCAGAATGCTAGTGACTGTCTGCATATGCCATGTGATGAGAGCCTAAGATGCATCTTAAGGCTCTAACAAGCAAAGAGAAGCCAAATCCAAAAAGAGCAGTAGAAAAGTGGCTATAATATGACTCAGCAGTTAATAGCACTTCCTACTACTTTAAGGACCTGAATGCACTTCCTTGTACCCATGTCATAGAGCTTACAACTGCCTATAACTCCAGCTCCAGGGTATCTTTCTCATGCTTCTGGATTCCAAGAATACATCCATGTGCTTATATGTGTACAGATTCACAAATAAATACATGCCATAGTTAACAAAATAAAGATCAGGGTGGAAATAAACGAATTGGGAATTACTCAAGTTAATAACACCAGGGAAGAAAAGATGATTGTTATACTAGATTCCAATGAAATCTAAAATCTCAATACCTTCAGACATTTGTGATCTTTGGTGCTTTCATGTGAGTTTTAGGATCCTAATGAAATTTTGATAATTTATAATCTAAAATACCTAGACACTCTAAAAGAAATTGAGGAATTTTGAGACACACATGACTTGCCAAAATTAAATCAGTAGGGTATAAAGGTAATAAGTCGCAAGGATCTTAAATAGATCCATGGAAAGTAAATAGTGAAGTGGAAATAGCAAGTGTTCCTGTAAAGATGAGCTCAGGGCTAGGAGGCTCTGCTGAATTCTACTAAATCATTAAAAGAAGCAAACACTAGCATTTCTTAGACTGTAGACAAGTTAGAAAAGGAAGGTAAGCTAAAACAAATCTCCTAGAAAGTCAGCATTATTCTGATACCAGGACCAGATAAAGACACAATAACAGCAGACAATCCTACAAAAAAGACTATGGACTAATTTTCTTGATGAACATAGATGAAACAATAAAATTCTTATAAACTGAATATAAGAACTTCTATGAAGATCATACATGAGGATGATGTGGCTTTTGTTGTGGGGATACAAGGATGCTTTCAACATACACAACTGATAAAATATTAATACAGTGCACAAATAAGCTATGGCATGATCATCTTAGTAGATTCAGAAAAAAAGCCGATGTATTCCCTCATGACCAAAGGTTGGAACAAACTGGGAATGGAAGAAACATACCCATACACATTAAAAGCTAGCTATGGCAATCTATAGCTAACATCATACTTAATGGAGGAAGACTGAAAGAATTTCCTCTAATGTCAGAAATGAGGTGAAGGTGCTCAGTCTTTCCATTCTTAATCAATATAGTGGTCAGAGCCCTTAACAGCAAGATGGGAGATGAGGCAAGACACTGGGGGAAGCAAATATGTACTTCGATGGTGTTACCACAATGAATCCCCTACTTTTTTTTTAAACATTGTTTTCCTTTTAATTTTAAACACTCAAGAACAAACCAAACAGCATACTATAAAGAAGATAATCAAAATTTACATGTACACATATAATCCAGGCTCACAGAACTTTCGATTACACAGTACTAAAAAGTAACTATAAACAAGCACTCTGGCAAACTATTTGGTAATCCTATGTCTGTTTTAGAGAATCTTAACACTTTAAGAAGCTGATTCTTTCACAATCAGGCATTCATATGGCCTCTGTGCTACCTTCCCACCCCAACAAAACTTCATGAATCCAAGTCTCCCAGAGAAGCTTTGATTGTTGACTAAACTGTCCAGAATAATTAGGAAGAACAGCACTTCACCAGGCCCAATTGTAACGAGGCCTAAAAAATTAACGGCCCAATGAAAAAGCAACAATAGACACATCTACTGTGCAAATGGAACATTCTGGCCATCAATGGATCAGAAGTAATGACTGAGGCTCCTGCCTTAATCCCATCAATGTCTTATTTAAAAAACATAAATGGTAAACTCTTCTAAATTACTCCATACTCTCAAATGAAAAAAATATTTTAATGAATCATACCTACACTTTATACTTCACCCATATTTTCCTTTGTAAGATAATGTAGAAGAAACAATCCAAGCAACCTTAGCTTAATGTTTTTCCTGACACATCTTCACATAAAAGTTATTAAAATCACAATTTCAAAAAGTTTCTCTTGGGATCTCACCAAGGCCAGCTGGCCTAGGTCTGAAAAAGCATGGGATAAATCCGGACTAGCTGAACATAGCGGACAATGAGGAATACTGAGAATTCAAGAACAATTGCAGTGGGTTTTTGATCCTACTGCACGAACTGGCTTTGTGGGAGCCTAGGCAGTTTGAATGCTCACCTTACGAGACCTGGATAGAGGTGGGCAGTCCTTGGGCTTCCCACAGGTCAGGGAACCCTGATTGCTCTTCGAGCAGATGAGGGGGGGGACTTGATCGGGGGAGGGGGAGGGAAATGGGAAGCGGTTGTGGGGACGAGGCAGAAATCCTTAATAAATAAATAAATTAAAAAAAAACAAAACAAAACAAAAAGTTTCTCATTAGTCATACAAACATTATAAACTACAGGAAGAAATCATATCCAGTTTTGCTCTGACGAAAACAATGTGCTACCAAATATGCAAGAATGCTTGTGCATGGGTTTTCTTCATGTCAATGTAGGGATCACGACCCCGGGGGCAGCGTCCTCTCTCGAGTAAGCTAGCACTCATGCTTGTTCCACATAGGCAGGGCCAGAGGCCCTGTGGTGTCCTTTCAACGACGACAAACTCTTCAGGGTTGCCAAATGCCTCATAGAAAACCAGCAAGTCTTGTATCGCATGCTCCTCAACCTGAATGAGAACTCCAGGACTAGAGAGCAATCATGTTTCTGATTTTCAAGTTCTAGAGAGTCCCAACCCCTGGCTGTCCTCCTCGCCGGCTGCTCCTGCCGCCATCGCTTCTGTCACGGTCGCATCGATTGTAGAAGAAGAGCGGCAACAAGAAGCCGCGCTCATCAGAAGTCGGGAGATACCCTTGGCTCTCAATCCCCTACTTTGTATGTGAATTAAAATTAATTTAAAAAAGGTTCCTAGAGATGGTCCCAGAGAAGACTCCTGGCAGCACAGATGCATAGCATGAACCAGCCATCTTCTGTGATTGGACTGGCGACTACGCCAATTGTTAGCAGAGAGCCCTTATCCATTGACTGATGGAGGCATGTTCAGATACTCACAGCTAAACATTGGGCCAAACTCAGAGAATCCTGCTGAAGAGAGGGAGGCGGGATTATAGGAAGCAAGGGAGTCAGGGACGTTAGAGGAAAACCCACAGAATCAGGTAGCCTAGCTCCTGGGAACTCGTAGAACCAACAACCAGGGATCCTGAATGGGATGGACCTAAGCCCTCTACATTTATGTGACAGTTGTGTAGTTGCATCTATTTGTGGGATTTCTGGCAATGGAAGCAGGGTTGTCCCTCATACTTTGGCTGTCTCTTGGGAACCTGTTCCTTATGCTGGATAACCTTGTTCAGGTTGAATATAGAGGGGAGGTGCCTGCCATGCTTTGTTGATGTGCATGGGAGGCCTGACCTTTTCTGAGTGAATACGGAGGGAGGGGTGGCTGCATGGTGGGGAACTCAGTGGATATGGATGTGGGGAGAGGGAGTGGGAGGAGAGCAGGGAGGGAAGGCTGCAGTCGGGATGTGAAATAAATAGGTAAGTTTTAAAAAGATGCTAGAAACAAGAAGTTTACACAGATTCAAATGCATACAAATTGAAATATGTAGGTGATAACAGAATTTCAGTAAACTGGAATTTCAAAGCTCCTTATTCATCCCACCGTAATGGGAGGCTCAACAGACTATAACTTCATGCTGCACTATGACATTTGTGTTCAGTCCCTAAGGCGGTGGCTGTGCAGGAAGCTGAGACCAGCTGGTGAGGCTGTCCAGGGGTGGGTGAGTAAACATCTTATCCACTCAAGTAGGTTGCCTGCATCTTTTAAGAATTCATGAGTTGAAGACAAGGAATGAGGAGGAATGATCCATCCTTAGGTAACAGTGATGCTGAAAGTTTATGGGGCCATTTTTGTAGCCAAGACAAATTTAGGGAGACTAGATTTTTCTTTTAATTTGACAGACTTGGATTTATTTTCATAACTTAAGTATTAGAGACACTGTTAGGACTATCAAGTGAGTGAGATCTCTGGAAACATAGACAACAAAATCCTGCAAAAATGAATGAATTAAACAGATCTTTGAATGTCTGAAGACTTTTCAAGCATGCTAGAGATCATGATATGCAGTCATAAAAAATGAGACCATGCAGGTAACTCAGCAGGAACCTGTTTTTAAGACCTTTTATTTAAACAAAACTTTATATATATATATTTATTTATCAGAAAGATTTGGTTGATACAAAACTACCAGCAGATGTTCTGCTGACACTTGTGAAGGCAAAGGAAATGAGAACATACATGCCACAGGAGGAATGCTTTAAGAAAGCTCCCTTTCATGGCATCTAACAAGTTGACACTGAATAGGATTACAAGGAAAAATACTTTGAAGAGAGACGTTGCAGGTTCAGATTTAAAGAAATTAATATGTAAATGAGGCTGATCATGATATGAGAATAACCAGGCTATAGCAAGTAACATTCAGTTATTGAACTTGCACTAAAATTTAAGGGCAGGAAATTCATTTCCCAATTATTATTTTTTTTTTTTTTGGTTTCGTTTTTCGAGACAGGGTTTCTATTTAGCTTTGGAGCCTGTCCTGGAACTAGCTCTTGTAGACCAGGCTAGCCTGGAACTCACAGAGATTCATCTCTGCCTCTGCCTCCCAAGTCTAGGATTAAAGGCATGTGCTACCACTGCTCAGCTCTGTTTCCATTTTTGACCTTCTGTCTTAGAATACGAAGCCTTGACATCACTACATCCCAATCAGCATAAGCTCCTTCCAGATGACGGGATATCTCAGTTCCTGCCTCATAGCTATGACGTCCATGGAGCAAGCGCCAGTTGTCAAAGACAATCACATCACCTAATTAGGAGAAAATTTCAACATGAATAATTTGCTTTTCAATGAGTTACAAACATAGGAGTTATTACTTACAAGACAGAAATTATGCCCTTTGTTGCAAATTTCAAAATCTCTATGTTCAGATCTGTTGCTTATCATAATGACTATAATTAATAAGAATGTATTGTATTCATTAAGAAAGCAAATAGAAAGCAAATATATGAGAAGCCACCACTACTCAGCTCATACCAAGAAAGAGAATGTTTCTTTGGTAAATAAAACTTACATTCTTATTCCTAATAAACTTTGTTATTGGGCAAATTTGTACATGTAGATAATTAATCTCCCTTCACTTTCTCATATCTCTTTCAGATGACCACTGCTGACCCCCATCACATCCAGTTCCTTTCCTAGATTCTTGTCTTTTGATTTTTTTGTGACCCCTTTAGCTTTTCCAAGGCCCTCTGTATGATTATTGGGTTAAAACTATCCATTGGAGCTTGCTAGGATCAACTGTGGTTATACAAGTATAGGCAGTGGTTCCCTATATACACTATGACATTTAAACTTCATAGCTTGACAGGCTACCATGGATATGGTTACATAAAAGATTTTTCTCTGTGTAAAGCTTTTGCATTGTTTTACTTTTGAAAACATCAATAACAGGCAGTTTCCCCAGTTTAAGAGCTCCAAGTAACCATAAGGACAGTGCTGTGGGATGGTCATTCTGTATGCTGTGAATATGAGCCCCCATCATTGGACGATAAATACAATTGTTTTGGCCTATGGTAAGGCAAGATAGAGCCAAGTAGGAAATCCAAGAAGAGATACAGGAGAAGGGCAAAGTCTGGGAGAAACCAGCTACTGAGGAAGCAAGACATGTAGAAAATAAGGTAATAAGCCACAAACTATGTGGCAAAGCATATATAAGAAATGTAGGTTAATTTAAATATAGGAGCTAGCTAATAATAAGCCTGAGTCATTAGCCAAGCATTTATAAGAGATATTAAATCTCTGAGTGGTTATTTGGTAATTGGCCAGCAGGAAAGAAACCTCCAGTTATAAATGATAACCAATGTGGGGGTTGAACCCACAACCCTGAGATTAAGAGCATGTTCTAGCAACTGAGCTAACCAGTAGAGCTACCCACCCACAAAGGGCGTCTCATTGTGATGCTTTTGAATTTCCATAGGATCTGAGAAAGCTTTAAAAAATAAAAAGAGACGGCTCCTTTAAGAGTTTCTGTAAGATAGTGAGCCCTTGAGCAGATAGTATGTTAAACTAAGTAAAAAATGCCTGCCACAGTGCAAGCATCAACATTCTAGAGCTCTAGGAAAAGTTTAACGCAGTTCTTGGTCATGAACCTCTGACTGGGTTGTAAGCTTTAAGCTAGACTTTTATGACCTGAGAAGTGGGCCGAGCTACCCACCAAAGCTGTGGGCAGAGGTACATGCAGCTTAGCAGTTTAAAGGTTTGCTCATGTGGTCAAAAAAGTATAAATGTTACACAGTAAAAGAGGTCCAGACCAAAAAACAAAAAAACAAAAAAACAAACCCCCCCCCCACCACCACCACCAACAAAACCTCTGAATAAGTTCCAATGTGTTTTATAATGTGTGTAGGCTTAAGAAAGAAATAAAAGGGTATCAACAGTTATAGAAATAAAGAAATAGTTAAAAATAATAGAATAAAGTCTTTAAAGATATAAGTAAAAATAAAAAAGCCACATAGAGATGGAAAGTACACAGGGCGCCTGGATACTGTATATTATTGTGTTGATTTTGAATTTTTTATGGCTGATGGGCAAGAGACAGCTGCTGGGAGACATGGGATTGAAAGAGAGACTGATAAAATACACCAACCTTAATATTTTAAAAGTGCCTTAACTTTAAAAGAGAAGTCAGAAAATGTATTTGTGAAATTGAACTTAAAAGATGTGTTGCTTAGGAGAAGTGGTTTTGTTTCTTTTTCCACAGGAAACAAGAGGCTATGGATTTGTCCCAGGTTAAGATGGGCCAGATTTAATCAAAAGAAACCTCCTGAATATTGACAGGTGATATCTATCAACAAAGGTTATAATTGGTCTTCTCAGGACTTGGCCATTATCTCAAATTTTCTCAGGCTCTACATAAGATTACCAGTGTCCCCAGTTGGCAGGAAGTAGTCTAGAGAACTATGTCCAAATTCCCCAAATATTGTTTATAAATGTTTGTTTTCACTTAAGGGGGTTTAGTTATAAAGGTTAATGGTCATAGTCAATCTCCTTCTAGAGAAAAAGGGGATATGATATAAAAATGATGGGGAAAGGGTTGATTATTAAGACAAAAATGGGACAGTTTACTGAGTTTACTTTAATTCAAAAAACAACTGTTAATCACAAAATACTTTACATTGGTATGGATTTTGGCTTATTGATACAAATTTAAGGTAAATTTGGTTATACTGTATGTATATTTCTATTCTTGTTTAAGGCATTATGGTTATATAGTTCATTTAAAATGTAATACCTAATTAAAATACATATCAATGGTCATCTATAATAGTCAAACTTATAGCCGTATTAGTTAGTTTTTTTTAAGGTATACAAAGATCTATTTCAATTAGGTAACTAATCTTCAAGCACTTCAAAGACATACAAAAATGACATTTAAATGTTTTAAGAACTTAGACTTTTCTCAACAGTGTGACACGTCCACTCCTGGCAATACCAAATACTTCAAAGAGGATGATGGGCATCAAAGAAACTTGTTATAGAATTTGCTAACTATTTGGGCAAGAAACTGTGCTTGTCTGGACTACTTGACAGTATGTTGTACAAACTGGACATACAGGACCCAAAGGAAAATGACCACTAAGCTTTACTAAAACAAGGTAGGATGGTCTTTCAAGTTCCTACTTTACAGAAGAAACGGCCAGACATTCGGCAGGACACAGAGGAAAGCAACTGACAAACTTTGCCAAAACAGGTGGGACAGTTTTTCAAATTTCCTGCTTCACTGAAAAGTCTACTGGATGCTTTAGGCTTTTAGGTTGAAGATGGATGCTCCAGTGCTTGAGAACAACTTTGGCTGACTGTTCAAGCATCCAGATATCTCTGTCATTTTTAGAGATTTGGAAGTTGTTTACAATGCACTCCATAATATATACATATCTCAAAATATATGCATGATAAACATTTGCAATTTTATTGTCAATTGAAAAAATAACAAGAAAAAATGGCTCAAGTTTTGTGGCATTCTAATCAGTAGAGATTGTCTAGAAAAAGTATCCGTGTTTCCTTATTTGTTTCAAGTCACTGGAACAGGCCGAGTCCTGGTTGATTTTAGTATTACTATCTTTGTGAGTAAGTTTTTATCAATAAAAATTACTCATGAATTTTGGAGTGGGAATTACAAAGATAATTTTGTTTAGCAAGGCAGAGGAATTTAAAATAAACTTCATTGTACTCTACATTTTTCACTGTCTTGAGAGGAAGTGATGCCTTTTCAGGACTGTGTGTGATCTTCATGTTGCAACTTCTATACCATTTTCTAGACTCTAACTTGTGTTCATGATCTCTCTCTCTCTCTCTCTCTCTATATATATATATATATATATATATATATATATATATATTACAGCATTTGGTGTTAGGGAAGAAAGCATCTTTTCTTGGATTTGAGTCACGGTGGCTTTAATAAAATATGGAAAATAACACAGATGGCAAGAGTTTTCAAAAAGCTTATTTGGAAGGTGACTATCAGGACAGCAAATGCAAAACAGCCTAAATATTAGACATAGCCTTCATCTGGCCTCTCTTTGAAGTGTCTTTAGTTTGGAGGCTCTTAAATTTCATGTTCTAGGATTTCCATGAGAGCTTGCAAAAAGGACTGGGAGTAGAGGAGAGGCACAGTCAACAGCCTAGAAATGGAAATGGCCAGATTCTTCTATTTAGGCAAATCAGCTTCTCATTAATAGTATGCTGTAATACCAGTCTGGATGCCACTTTCCTCCACTCACCTGGATTCATCTTGAAGGTGTACTTGTATTCCTTGCTGTTCATGAGGTCCACAAACTCTTTCAGAGCAGAGTAGAAAGGCTGAACTCTTTCAATGGGGACATCAAAGACTGTATCTCTGACTGCATTGTTGAAGTTGATGCGAATTACTTGGCCTTTATCATCCAACCTGTTTTGTTTATTAGGCAAAATGAACATCTAATAAGGGTTAATTTTTCTTAGGAGATATGTTTAAAATACAGAATGCATAAAAATATACAAATTAAACATAATGGGTGATGAGATGTTTACATATATGTATATTATATGTTTAGATATGTGTATAATAATTTAGACATAATTTAGATATATGTACAATATTTAGATTATTGTAATGGTTTTTATCATGTTAGAATCCCAAGTAGAATTTTTAAAAGTAGTGTTTGAATTTAATAGTCACATTATAACTAGGACTCTTGAGTTGCTGGGGGCAGCAGCACGTGCTTGTCCAAACTCTGAGGCTGGATATCTCAGAATGAACACAACATAAGATATATAGAGACACCATATCTTCAAAGGTGAAAATTTCTCATCTCACAGTCACCAAAGAACACCTTAGATTCATTTTAATCTAATTTTTTTCCAGAAACTTATCTATTCTCCATATTTTCCATCCAACATCTCCAGAAAACCATCTATTTCTACCCATAAAATGTATGCTCAGCAGTTTGCTGAAATTGTCAAGAAAGTTTGACAATGTAAGTTTTATCCCTAAAAAGTCTGTAGAGATACAGACACCCTTAACACGAACTCTGCTTTCCTTTGCTTTTGGAGCATTCTGCTTTGTTTTTGAACTTTGATTAAAATTTGGCTGAAAAACTTCACCCCACTCCTTAATCTAAGTTCTAGGGTCAGGGATCTTTGTTTTTTTTTTTCCCCCCCGCTGGTGCATTCCAAATACTAAGTAGTTCCTTGGCTCCAGTAAATTCTTTATTACTAAATGATTGAATTGTGTGTGTGTGTGTGTGTGTGTGTGTGTTTGTGTGTGTGTGTGAACTGAGGAATTTGATATCTACTAGATGGCCTTATTTCTATACTATTTTTGCTATTTCTTCTGAAATAATACAGGTCAATTCTAAAGTGTACAGCTTCCCAGTTTTGACTGAGATATAATTAAATACATGACATCCTAAAAATACAACACACAATGCAATTCTCAATGAACAGTTAAAACAGTGTCCTATTTATATTCAAGAAAATCATGATTAAATAATGTTAAAAGAAAAAAATAGGGTGGAAGAGATAGCTCAGATGGTAAAGTGCTTTCTGCATAAGTGTTCAAGAAAATCATGATTAAATAATGTTAAAAGAAATAGGGTAGGGGAGATAGCTCAGACGGTAAAGTGCTTTCTGCATAAGTGTGAGTTTCCGAGAGACCCCGTCTCAAAATATAAGGTGAAGAACTATTGAGAGAGATCCTCTAGCCTTCACATGAACATTCGCATATATGTATCTATACACACAGGCACATACATACATATATATACAAACATGTATAGAGAGAATTTATTGAGTACATAAAAAATCAAATAGAAATAAAAGTATCATGATTAAAAATGAAAGACCAACATCGTTGAGGAAAATAAGATGTTTCTCAGCATGTGTTCACACTGAAGTTAAAAAAGAATAGCATAAAATCATCTATGTAGAACATAACTATGATCTCTGATGACTTAGCACTTTCTGAGGGATTTTTTATTTTAGTCCATATGCCTAAAATGAGAGCGATTATTCTCCAGAGATGCACATGGCCAAGCAGCACTTGCAAGGCCCTGGTAGGTCATCCTGGTGATTGTCTCATGGACAGACTTCAACAAGCCTGGGCAGGGAATCACAGATGTGCCACAATTCTCAAAAAACAAATGCTACCCTTGTGCTGTGGTTGCTAGCACAAAGGATGATGAAAATCTTGGAGCTTGTGAGGACTATCTTTGAAAATGAAGCCAAAACAAGATGACAAAGCTAAGAAGAAAAAAATGACAGTTTCTGGTTGACAGGACTTAACTCCTGGATCTATGTATTCTCTATTTTATTCTTTCACTTCCAGCTGTAAGTTTTCCAACAGCTATAATCACATGGACAAGGCAGAACTTATACTTAAAAATGAAGTATGTATGAATTATGAGTTATCAAAAAATATAATATTAATTGAGAACAAATTTCCTGCCATTTGGTAACTTTTTTTAATGGCATGTTTTTGGTCTTTTTTTCTTCTAGCAGCATATTAAACCAAAGCTGTAAAGTCAATCAAAACTTTCTGGGGTTCAACTGCAGGGGATTTCTAAGACTACTCACTCTATAATCTTGTGCTTAGATTGCACAGAGAAGTCACAGTAATCCACTCCAATGTCTGTAAAATCCACAAAGGTGGAAGACAGAATGTGGAATGCCTGAGGATTCTTCTCCTTGAGCTTTTGGCACACATTAAACCCATCGACAACTTCAGAATCGCCACCTGTGACTGTTTGCTTTATACAGTGCAGAAGCTGAACCTGTAAGGAGAAATGGAGATAGAGTTTAAAACAATGGCATCCACTCTTGAAAACTACTATGCTAAATATTCAAAAAGATACAAATAGAAAAAAACCAACAAGCTTAAAAACGTCGATTCTCTGATGTCAGTTTTGAGGGGAAGTAGGGATGAAAAAGCTGCCTACAGTATTGTGGTATAATTCAAGCCTGTTGCCATTGAAGACACGGGCATAGAAATAAAGTTCCCAGATCACACACATACCAATTGCAGGGAGGGAGCACAGCATGCTGCTGCAGGCGGGGAAGGCAACAGCAGAGGCAGGTTTGAGTTGGGCAGAGGACTATGGGTAAGGCTTGAGTTACATACAAATGAGAATGCAAATAGGTGATTGTGCTGGTAGAGCTGAAAACGTACAGTTTGGTGAATAACACAAAGGCTAGCTGCAGCAGAGCATTGGAATGGATGGAGGAGGCCAGACTGAAAAGGTATCTGAGGCTTCATCACTCACAGTCTTAAATGTGAGAGGAAGGATTGCTGTACTTTCTGCTGTGCATAAGGGACATTGACTCTGGAGATAGTGTGGATTGAACTGAAAAATAACACAGTAGTCTGCTGGTGTCACCCAGGCACACTGATTTTAAGATGGGAATGGGCTAGGCCATAGCTACTTGCGACTCTAATGAGACAGGTCAGACTTGAAGATATAATGGCAATGAGGTAAGACGTGACTTTGGGAGGGTGTATAAACACAAAAAACATCGGAAGTAGTAACCCAAATGGAGGGAGAGTTTTAATTTAACTATGTTTTGATAGAACTTGGTGAACATATTACAATTTCAAAATCAAATCAGAAAAGTTAAAAGGATTGCTTGTGAACAGAGGTTTCATGGATTTTGTGATTCCTTTTGGTAGGTGGTTAGATTGGTGGTACTGAGTACCTAAATTTAGAACCTGCTTTTCTGCTTGGAAGAAATACTAGCATTCTGTTGATCAAACTTCATTTTTAGTAATTTTAATCATTTTAAATTATTGTCTCACTGATTTCTTAGAGAACGAGAGAATAAAACATGACCAGATATCCATACATGGGTGGATATTAGAGTTAGTGAGAAAAATATTCATTTCACTTGGTTTTCTCCACAGATGGTCTAGAACAGTGGTCATCAAGGCTTTCTGCAGTGACGGACATGTTCTTCTTCGTTGTGTAATAGAATCAGCATCAGTTCCGCATGGCCTTATAAACTCTCAATATAATTATTATGGCTAAAGATTTTAAATTAAAGTTGTATTTGATATTTATTTCTTGCACATGTCTGTATGTAGTGTGTGTGTGTATGTGTGTGTGTGTGTGTGTGCATGTTTGCATGCATGTGGGTACATATGTGTGTGATATATGTGAACATGTGTGCAGAAGCCTGAGCTAGCATTAGGGGTTTCCACATTGTCCTCCACTTTATTCACTGAGGCATCATTTTTCAGTTGAATGAAGGGCTTGCCAATAAGGTGAACTAGCAGAGGAGGTTGAGCAGGGATCCCTTGTGTATGTTTTATGAGTGCCGAAATTCTAGGAGGGCTGTAATGTGGGGATCCAAACTCTGGTCCTCACACACGCCTGGCAGGTGTTTTATCCACGGAGTCACTGGGTTTCTTGGAGTTTTAATGATTTGCACACAAGTTACTTTCAAATGGTAATTGTGGCATGTAAATTACTTTTATAATAGTACTTAGAATTTTATAAACTTATCTTAATTTTGCAGATGGAATGGTTGAAATATAGGTGTCATAGTTTCTTAATTAAAAATTCAGTTAATATGCGATAAAGATAGTATTCAAATTTTGGCCATTTGCCACAAATCCAAAACACAGAAATTCCCTCTCTTTTCAGGGATCCATTTATAGAGCTCTCAGATATCCAGACTTGCTGGGTGGCGGCGGCACACGCCTTTAATCCCAGCACTTGGAGGCAGAGGCAGAAGGATCTGGTGTGTTTGAGGCCAGCCTGGTTACACAGAGAAACCCTTTCTCAAAAAATCAATAAAAAAATCCAATCTTTAAAAAAAAAATCCAATCTTAGGTGCAAAAAGGTCAATAATCCTACTGTTGGAAGATGACTTAAACAATTTAGTACCTACTCAATCTTTAAATAGAGGCAAATTTTAATCTTGAAAAATATGTGCACTAACTGATCAAACCATTTTAAAAAGGTCATCGAAGAAGGCCAAGGAGAGGTCAGGCAACATGCTGGAATAAAGGATAAATAGCCATGTCAGCTGCAGGTCTACAGAGTTCCAGAAGACACAACACGAACATAGCTTTGTCCTCAGGAGAATCACAACAGTTAAACTTTTTTCAATTTTGCCATAATAAGCCCACTGATTCAAACGTTAGTTTAAAAACGGTCAGTTGATATCTTTCCCACATGGCTAGGCCAAATAATATCTCCTTTTGTGTATTATATTTTAATACAATCTTATAAAAGAAAATAGATTATGAAGCCTGACAACATTTTAACCACTAATCCAAAAAACTAAATATACTCCTGTCATGTATAAAACCCAATTTTATATCACATAAATCATTCAGAATAAAAAAATTCCTTTCTAAATATTTCCTTATGGAAGCATGTGACTTTTGGCCCAGAGAAAAAAGTGAGCACAGCCACATCTGTGTCTCGTTTAACATGTTTCCTCACCCTGATCGAGCCGAACCATCGCTAGGAAACTCATTTTCCACATCATTTAAGATACACGGAAAAGGACATTTACCTTTTCTATTTGTTAAAGAAAAGATTAAACGTTGTTATTAAGATTTCTGCATAATTCAAAGTGGAAGTTGCACAATGAGACAGCCGATGTGTATTTATCTGTTAGAATAAAAACATGTCTGGGTTCATTATTTAAAGACCATGGGAAGTCATTGGCTTTGGATACCTCCTTTGCCCTGCCACACTTGGTGGCTTCTCTAGACATCTCTCATGACTCTACTTGTGCACAAGTTGCTTTAAGTTTTGAGATACAAAGAAGTTCAAGGTCCATTTTACTGTCCTTGCAGAGTTTTGTAAAATATGACAGCGTGTATAAATAACCTATCACATCACATCCTATGGAAATCAGTAACTCCAGTTTGGCATCATACTGGTGTGTAAAAAAATCTAGACAGAGATGTATGCTCAAGTCCAGGTTCCTTATTCATTAGTGGTCATCCTGGAAAAGCCTTCTGCTTTATATCCTCATCCAATACCGCAGGGCTTGAGCAAGCTTGTCTACCCTAAAGGACTTCTAAGAGAGATCTTGCAAAGAAACTGAAGCGCTGAGCAAGCTTAAAATACTGTATTATGCGTTAGGTATATTTAGGAAGCCATTTAATCATTTAATCAGGATTTCAGTTTTAACTTAGATTCAGACTTAAATTCAGAAAGAGCAAAAAACAATTTAGAAGTTCAAGTAGGACTTTTAGCTATTCAGATCCATTTTTTAAGTCGTTTTACATTTGATAACTCCAAGCAATAGTTAGCAGGCAGAATGTGTTGAGTGGTTTGGTGCCACTGGGCCATGTTCAGTATAAGCCTCTCTGTTTCTCTCCTTCTCCAACTCCCATCCATAAAGGTGATCAGAGGAGTCATCTCTCTGTCATAATTTGGTTCACAGAAACCATGTGGTGTTTTACAATCAACAGAATAATTTGAAACATATGAAGCCAAGTACGAGACTAGCTTAGCTAACTAATTCTGGCAAGAACAATGTGTAAGAAGCAGGGCACAGAGAAAACACGTTCAGTTAAGATGATGACCAAAAGAAACTCATTTTGACTTTTTTTCTGCCCATTTGTTCTTAATTGACTTGAGAGTTGCCCACCTTCTTATCTACATCTGGAGATATAGATTTATAGGCAGTTGTTTCAGTTCAGATCAATTTAGCTAAAAACTGAGTGCAACACTCTCTTTAGTCTCCTGACCATCTGCTTTTTGGTTTGAGAAAATAATGATTTTGTAAAAATGTATTTGGTTTGAAAGGTGATGGTTTGTAAAGATAAAGAGAGAAAGTGTGCGATCAGGAGTCTCCCGGGAAAACTGCTCTGCACGATGCATCTTCTTTGGCAGGGAAACTTGGGGTGGGATAGGAGAGGCCTTCCAATACTAGCACAATTCTTCTGCTCCTTATGTTGATATTCCTTTACAACTCATTTTTGCAGCTTTTCACGTGAGCATCCCATTTTCTTATCCCCTCGGGCTGGGCTAGCCTCATTAATTGCTTAGAACAACAGACCATCACCGAAGGGACCTTATGCTGATTCCTGGCCAAAGTCCCAAGAACTCACATACGCTTTGGCTTCCCCACGGAAAATGTTGCCAGCTGCCATGAGATACAGCCTAGGCTAGCCTGTTGGAAGATGCTAGACTAGGGGGAACAGAGACAAACCTTCTCAACATCATCTGAAGTGAGCTATTTCCTAGCCAATGTAGCAGCTGACAAGAGCCAGATGACTAAAAACAATAACCTCTTAGCTGTACACAGCCCAAATAGTAAAAACACATGTGCTTAGTATCTAGCTGTTTATTTTAATAATAACAAGCATTCATTATTATTCTTTGTCACTATCAGGGATTGAATACAGAGCCTCACAGATGCTGGTCCAGCACGTTTACCGCTGAGCTACATCCTCCCTCCCCAGCAGTATTTTGGTAAATTTTTCATTTCACATGTACTGTCCATCAGTTCAACCTTGTGTTTATATGATGCATGCCTGTGATGTGAAGGTGTATACATGCCCATGTGTGTTCAGGATGCCAAGTGGTCTTCCTCTATTGGCTGTTCTTTTAAGCTGTTGAATTGGGTAAAGTCTCTCTCTCTCTCTCTCTCTCTCTCTCTCTCTCTCTCTCTCTCAAAGGTCAACATTGGTATCTTCTTCAATTACTCTCCACCTTATTTTAGGGATAGGGCCTCTCACAGAATCTGAAGCTCACCAGTCAGTTACTCTATCTGTCCAACATGTCTGAGAGCTGGGATTACAGACACGTATACATAATGACACCTTTTTACCTGGGTGACAGGCATCTGAATGCAGATCCTTATGTTTGTGCAGCAAACACTTTTATCAATTGAACCAGCTCACAAAACCCTAAGTTGGCAAGTTTTTAACTCATTTGCTGATATAAATGACAGGCATGTGACTTCACACTATGTTTCTACATTTCATTTTCTTTTAACTCTCATGGGAGTGATATATGCGCAGACACATCTCGAGATATATTGGCTGTCTTCAAATCAGCCTTGGCAAAGCAAAATGCTCCAATAATTATTTCCAAGTAGAAATAAAGAACTGATTTTTAAAGAAGATGAGTGAAAATGTCCCTTTCCCTTTACATAGTGAGGCCGTTCAGGACTCAGGCATCTGTTTGCGAGTTCAGACCAGGTTTCAGAAAAGGCGATGCACATAAGACAAATGCAGTGGTGAGGTGTTTTATCTCGATGGTGCAGAAGAACCTTTTCCCTAGGCCTGGCTAGTGGAAAACGTGGTGAAGTTCACCTTACCCCAGGTGGATGGTGGAGGGCTGGGTAGTCAGTGTGGAAGCTGAGCTTCCCAGTTGTATAAGCCACATTGTTGGCATCAATCTTGTCCTGCACTTGCCAAGTGTGTCTGCAAAATACAAGATACATGTGTTTTAAACGCTTGACACCAAGCCAGAGGAAATGTGTTACAATGCATTTGCTCTGTGAGGGGAAATGGAAACTTTCCATTTTATGAAATAATTAACAGAATGAGCAAGAGCCAGAAAAAGGAGGTTAACTTTTCTTTTTCTTAAGTGGCCCTTTCAGAACCACCATTTCTGTCTCCTGCCGAGACAAAAAAGAACAAATCCTATAGGTTTGGTAGAGAGGTGTATATGGGACTAAGAGTCATTTTTAAAAAGCCTAACCCATATGATTTGCTACAGAAAATTCATACAATATAAAGTGAACAATTTTAAACTGAACAAATTCATGGCACTTAGTACATTTAAATGGTAGCAACATTATTGAACATAGCTAGTCTAAGACCATGTAGTGGTTTGAATGAGAATGTCCCCTATAGTCACAGATATCAGAATACCTGGTCCCCTGCTGGTGGTGCTCTTTTCGAGGTTTATGAGGTGTGATCTCATGGAAGGAATTATGTTACTGGGGTAGATGTTGAGAGTTTAGGACCTCACTCCATACTTGCAGTTTTCTCTAAACTCTCAGCTTTCTGTTCCTGCCACCGTGCCTGCTAATGCTGCCACAATGGATGATTACCCCTCTAGAACTGTAAGTCCAAAGAAACCCTTCCTTCTACAAGTCTCTTTGGTTGTGGTGTTCTACCACAATAACAGGAAAGTCACAGTTTAAAGCTCTTATCTAGTGCACAGTCTCTTCTTATTCTGCTCTCTTCTGTATCCTGGAGAAATACCGATCTTCTCTCTGTCTTTATGTGTTACCTATTTTGGATATTTAATACATGTGGGATTGTACAGTGATTGTCCTTTTGTGCCTGACTCTTTTCACTCTGTACAGTGTTATCAAGATTCATTCATTGTGCTAGAGCACATCTTATCACGTCACTTCCATTTATAGCTGATAACACTATACTGTGTTCTGCGGGTGGCTGGATCATCTATTGTTTGTGTGGAGAGAACACAGTGTGCTTATCTGTTTTTCCCTGGCGTGTCCATTTGGGCTGCTTCTACTTTTTGGTGTTGCAAGATTGCTGGTCTGGACATATGGATACATGTACTTATTTGAGCATCTGTTTCTAGATTTTAAAATATATCTCTAAGAGTACAATGAAAGGTTATGTATTGTGTTGTTTGAGGAATGGCCAAACTATTTTCTATAACAACTGTACCATCTTAATTCTGACTAGCAAGGTTTGGGGGTTTTCAAGGCACTCTCACCCACACCTAGACTTTCTGGTGCTTGGGTTTATAAACATTGTTATCATAGTTTATCCAGTTAATGTTGTGTTATTATGGTTTTGATTTGTATCTTCCTAGTGACTAATTATATTGAGTTTCTCATGATGTGCTCACTGGGCATTTATGCGTCTTTGTAGAATTATATATCCAAATTACTTATTTTTAGATTGAGTTACATTTTTTTTGAATAATGCATAACTAGGATACGAGACTATTGTCATGAATCTGCTTTACGAAAACGTTCATGTATTCTATGTTTTTCCCATTTTCTTTTAACTTTCTTTTAAGAAGGTTTATTTATATTATGTAAATATATGAATTTTTGAGTATGAGTACCATATGCATGTTGTGCCTTCAGGGTTAGAAGTGGACATCAGGTCTTCTGGAACTTGAGTTACAGGTAGTTGAGAACCTCTTGATGTGAATTCTGGGAACTGAGTCAGGCTCCTTGGCAAGAGCTTCCGGTGTTCTTAACTACTGTGCTGTCTCTCCAGTCCCATTTGAATGACTGTCTTTTGATGCTCATAGGTTTTTAATTTTTGTGAAATCCAATTTATCCATCTTTTTCTGTGTTGTGCAGCATACCTTTGGTATAGTAGCTACAAACCCATTATTCAAGCCACAATTATTAAAATTTATCTGATTGTTCTTCTAAGAATTTTATTGATTTATAGCTTATTTTGTTAGTTCATTGATTCATTTCAGCCATTTTTTTAAAACAGGGTCTGAGGTAGAGGATGGAATTTCATTTCCTTGCCAGTAGATACCAGTTGTCTAAGCACAATTTACTGACGACACACTTATTTCTATACTGAATGTTCTTGATATCTCTGTTGAGAGTCAGTTGGCCGTAAGGAACAGGCTTATTTCTGAACTCAATAACTCATCTGCTGTATTTGTCTACCCTTATGCCAGTAGTACCCCATCCATAGTGACTAACACAAATAAGTTTAGTCTACTTGTCGCCCTTTGAAATTTATGTGAACCGGTTTTTCAATTTATAAAATAGAAATGTAATATTGATGGAGATTTTATTGACTTTGTAGACTGGTTTGGGTAGAATTAACATCTTAATGATATTGCTTATTTCTATAAGAACACAAGTTGCTCTTTTATTTACTTAAGACAATTTATTTCAAGGGTGCTTTATATTTTAATTGTATGTTTTTTTTACCCCTTGGTTGCATTTATTATTTGATATTTTATTCATATGAATTCTATCCTAAGTTTCAATAGACTTAATTTACTCTTCAGATTGCTCATTGTTTTTTTTTATGTAGTTACTTGTTCATCTTGTACCCTGCAGTTTTGGTTCTTTGAATTGTTAGTTGTAGTAGCAGTTTTTGTAGATTTTGTTCTCTCTCTCTCTTTCTAACAATCTACTTACTACTATCTCTCTGTCTTCTACCTATCACCATCTATCGTTGGTTTATCTATTTATTTATAATCTACCTACCTATCTTCTATCATCTATTTATTACTATGTGTGTATGTATATGTATGAATTATCTATCTGTATTAATCAATATCTTATTTATCTGGAACTACCAGAACTATATTTAATAGTGGTAGCAAGAGCTAGCTTCCTCGATTTATTATTTTTCCAAATAGAAAGTGATCAACTTTTATTACACTATTGGAATTATTACATAAGTGATGAAATAAAAATTGGACCTCTTGCAAATACCCTGTCCCAGACATAATCATTTTTATTCTTTCCAGAATAACTATAACCATAACTTCAATAGTTACCACTTTTTGTATTTCATTAGTTTTATAATCCAAAAATATACCCTTCAACACTGTGCTTAACCTTGCTTAGGAAAATACTTACTATATTTATTATATCTTTTAAGATCTTTCATTTCTGCACATGTGTCATTTGTGTATGCATGTTCAAATGTATGTGGGTACACATACTGTACAAGTGCATGTACATAATTGTAGAAGCAAGAGGTTGACACCAGGAATTTCCTCAATCTCTTTCTTTCTTATTCACTGTGGAAGAGTATCTTAGCTGAACCCATACGTTTGTCACATCTGGTTGCCATCTTGCTCCTGTCTCCATGTTCTGAGTATAGAATTTCTGACAAGCCACTATGCCCACCCAACATTCATATAGATGTTGGCATCTGAGCTCTGGTTTTTATGTTGACACAGCAAGTGCTTTAGCTACTGAATCATCAGCCTCGCCCCTCTTTAAAGTCTCTTGATCTACAGGTTTTCTCTTCAAACTCTTCTCTCAATTTAGTCTTAGAAGAGCCATGGGATTTTGCCTTATAGCGCATCCCAGTTTGGACTTTAACTGCATACTCAAGGTGAATTCATGCTGCCACTCGACACATTCCCCTGTTTTCTGTACCACTAGAAAATTAATGACTAAAGGTAGAGGCTTGGGATTTAAGACAAAAGCATAGGCTCACCCAGGAAATATATGGCAAGATACAAAGTATCTGGCTTTCTTTTGTGGTACAGTCTTGTCTTCATAGATTAATGACAGATATTCACTGTTAACACAGTAAGTCAGTGGGGGGATGCCAGTAAAATGGGGGTTCTTCATTCCAGAATACTTGAGTTTAAGAGATCTGCAGTACTGTGTAGGATCAAATTGTGAATTTTAGACATTAGCTCAAAAAGTCTCCATTTCATGACATAGCTTCTTTCTAAACAACAGTATCTACACCGAGCAATACATCACCCACAACAACAACATGAAGACAGTTGTACAGGTAATATTTCAGAAGACAGGTGACTTTAGAAAGAATTGAGTTATAGTGTTGAAATTGAGCTTTAAAATTATATGTTCAGGTTTCTAGAGCATATGTTCTTTCTCATAGGTTTTTTTTTTAAATGTTTACTTCTCTTGCCAACCCTAAAATGGCTCCCTTAATTAAGATATATACTTCCCTGCTCCCATATCCACCCTTCCTGCATCCCAACCATCCCATTCCCTCAAGCTCTCCCCATTCTCCTTTTCTCCCTTCTCTCTCCCCATCTCCCCTTACCCCCACCTCACCCCCATCACCGTGCTCCCAACTTTTGCCTGGCAATCTTGTCTACTTCTAATATCCAGGAGGATAACTATATGTTTTTCTTTGGGTTGGCAAGAGACTTGACTCTAGAGGGGTTCCCAGGTGTCCAAGGAGATGTCCCCAGCTTGTTCCTTGGGCAGCTGAGGAGAGGGCGCCTGAACTGGCCTTATCCTATAGCCACACTGATGAATGTCTTGCATATCACCATAGAACCTTCATCTGGTGATGGATGGAGATAGCAACAGAGACCCACATTGGAGCACTGGATTGAGCTCCCAAAGTCCAAATGAGGAGCAGAAGGAAGGAGAACATGAGCAAGGAAGTCAGGACAGTGAGGGGTGTGCCCACCCACTGAAACAGTGGGGCTGATCTAATGGGAGCTTACCAAAGCCAGCTGGACTGGGACTGATGGAGCATGTGATCAAACCGGACTCTCTGAACGTGTCAGACAGGGAGGGCTGAGAAGCCAAGAACAATGGCACTGAGTTTTGATCCTACTGCATGTACTGGCTTTGTGGGAGCCTAGTCTGTTTGGATGCTCACCTTCCTAGACCTGGATGGAAGGGGGAGGGCCTTGGACTTCCCACAGGGCAGGGAACCCTGACTGCTCTTTGGACTGGAGAGGAAAGGGGAGGAGGATGGGGGGAGGGGGAGGGAAATTGGAGGAGGGGAGG